CCCCAAAACCCCAAAACCCCAAAACCCCAAAACCCCATTCAAAAACTTCTCAATTGAAACAAATTGAATTTGTTCAGAGCAGGTTTAATGGAAATTACCTGAATCTATAGAATAATATAAGCCTGATCAGGAGGGAATTATAGCTCCAAAGTGTCTGTGTCATATCCAACAATGGATTCTAGCCGGATATCCAGCTCTGGAAGTCTCGCAGGTTCTCAGAAGTTAGCTCTCTTAACTTGCTCAATACTATTTTGCTTATCCGCACAAATCTCTTCGCAGGCACGGTTTCTCTGAAAGTCAGAGTTTTTCGCGACTAATATGTCTTGCTGCTTCATAGGACTAATGCTAAGCCTTCTTTCTTCAGAAGAAGCTGTGCTTGTCTGCTCTGATTTCACTATTCATTGGTCTTGCTTTACCAGCTTAGTCACGTTATTCTGATGACAATGGTATGGGTGGTAATCCTCTAATAAATATACAGAATTTATAGGTGTTATTGTCTACAATGGTTAACTACTAATTACCTTTTTAAAAGAAACAAAAAAATTTCAACCTTCTGGACTTAAGTATCACTTGAATGCGACCACACTGATCTGCTTCTGCTCGTTCAGGTAAAACTGTGTGGACAAGATTATATCTAAAATTAGGATTTTGTAAATTACCTTGATCCTTGATCAGCTGGTAAACTGATTGGCACAGCTCAACTTCGCTCTTGGAGATAAGTTGTAAGACTGAGTAAATGGGAGTTTCAATAACAGGAGGCAGATCTGTGACGTCCGCTCCTTGATTAGTTTGTTTCAAAAATACTTTCTGTCTCTCCCAGTCAGCCTCTGTACTTTCTTGTTTCAAAGAGCCTAAAAATAAGATTGAGACAAACCTTGCTTCTCTTTTGTCTTCTTCGCTCGCTTTTTGGTTTTCTTCGGAGGATTTAGTTTGATTTTTGGCTTAGGAGAGTTTTCATAAAGCATTGGAGTTCCTTTGCTCTGCAATTTATCATACCCTTGCACAAAGCTAGTATTACTTAACGAGAATTCACACGAGTCAGTGAATCTCATATCTTGCAGAGATGGGTTTGAGAATCCCACAACCCTCCCAGTATCAGACTCACAAACCTCTTTCCTTTGTATTTCCGCTCAATTAAGCCCCTCAGTCTGTTTAGACACCTCCTTTCATCCGCCTACTGGCTGTGGTGGCCCACTTAGGCCAAGATGCCCCTCATCACCTCTACCCTGCCTCTTCTTAAAATCCAGATACTTATACGGATCTTTCTTCTTACAAGTCTTTGGCTTAGCTCTTTCCTTCCCTTTGGGCTTAAGATACGTAATCTTCAGGTCAATATCCGAAAGTTCTTCTAAATCTTCTTCAATCCTATATATAAACATCCTTTTCCTTACTGTATTGGCTGGTTTTGTTTATTGAGGTTCTTCCAATCAATCTCTGGAGTTTTGAATAAGCTCATTTAGGATGAAATTTAGTAGGTTAAGGAAGTAAATAGACTAATTGAAGGAGTTCCAAGTGGGCTTGCCATGTGTAAGTTTTGTATCATTTTTGAAATATTGGGAGTGGTGTAATTATTGGGTCAATGGAGGTGAGGGAGGAAGAGAGATGGGTGTAGGGTAGGGATAAGGCTAGGGGTGGATATTGGGAGGGAAAGAGAGGGTTTTGGGGTGTTAAGGTGGGGTTTTGGGGGAGATAGGGGGTTAAGTGTATTTTTGGATTAGTTTAGCTGTGAAGGGAGGATTTTGAAGGGATGAACTCTTTGTTGAAGATTTTTAATGATCTTATCGGCTTGAGCAAATGACATCATTTCGGCCCTTTCTGAAGTTTAAGAGAACACCTTATCGCTTATAATAATTATATCACAAATTTTCTACTGATGAAGTGCTACTATCCAGGAATTTAACAAGTATTAACACCAAAGAAAGCCCAAAAATTGTTAAAATAATGCCTTGGGACATAACCCAACAGCGACATCATTGGAAAATAATTTCTAATTTCAATTTATGTCAATATTAAAGGGGTTTTGGGGTTTTGGGGTTTTGGGGTTTTGGGG